TTGTCTAAGACTCTAACTTAAGCCAGGTACAGTGACACATGCCTGTAATCTCTGTACTCGGGAAGCAGAGACAGGAGGACTGTTGCAAGTTCCAGGCCAGCCATGGCTACACTGAACTTGTCTCCAGACAAAACTAAAGAAAATCTAAAAGGAGCACCAAAACCATTTCTAGAACTAATCTAACACTCATCTGTTTTGGGTTTTCAAGTGGGTTTTGGTAGACACTGGTGAAAACTTGTGACCAGCTAGCTCACTTCTCTCTCCTTCACCCCATTCCAACCTTGGATCGTCATTTCTGTCTTCTGTGCTCTATGCCCCTGCTGTGATTCTTAATGAAATAAATTTCAGGAAGCCTACTGATTGAATGCATGACAAGTGTATAATTTACAGGGGCAGCTGGGCCCTCCTGGCACATGACTACCCTCTCAGCCTTTCAGGGGACTTCCCTTCCAAATCCTCTCCACCTTAGTCCTCTGTCCTCTCTCTCCTTGATTATCTGCTGAGAATTCCTTAGAATTCTTTCTTCCTGTTTCTCTCTGCTACTTTCTTTCTGGGGAAGGAACGGTCTCTTCATTTCCTAAGATACTTCTCAGAAGTCATACTGTTTCATTTCTTGTTTTTAGGAGCTCCTACAGGGTCTCCTTGCTTCTTATTCAGGGTTTCATTGCTCTCACTTGAAAAATGATAACAGCTGTCCAACCATCAGTTCTCTCTTTCATACTATCACCTACGTTATGTTTAACATTTGTGGTGTGGCATTTATCAGCTTTAAGTCAGCAGGTTTTATATTAATCAGGTTTCCTTTTTCTGCTATTGACAGCAATTGTCATTTTTTTCAATCTTCCCATCTTTAGTGCTTATTGGATTTTCTGTGACTTTAAAGAAAAAAGAGATTTTCTAAAGATAGAAATGACAATTCGTATGCAAGAAGTTTTTGTTTATATGTTTAAGTCCAAGAAAATCTAATTTCCAATAATTATGTCTTTTTTTTTCAGATGAATTGTTGGTTTGGTTATGAAATTTACAGAAAGAAAAACATGTTTGGGGAGCTTTCGAGATTCTCTGTGACTGTCAACACCTTCCATGACTGGCTCAACATTTTCTGTCTTGAAAGAACGTTTCTGGGAATTTGTCTTCATATGCTCAATCTGAATTGGCCACTGAGAGCCAATTCTTCCCATGGGTGTTCTTCACTGCCTTGTGTTTCTTAACAGGTTTGTGCTTTAGAGGTGATGACCTAAGTTTCAATCTCAGTTTCCAGCTTTTATGGATGAATTTCTTAATCTTCCTAAATGAGGTAATTTCATCACTTATACAATAGTAATAGAATCGTCAACTATTGTCATAGGATGTTTTCTGGGATAAGCAATCAGATAATGCTTTTGAAGTGTGCATGGGGCTGATTATAAAGCTAAGCCATTGTTGCTATGTTACATCTTGTTAAGATGCTTTGTGAGTTCTTTGCATTTTCAAATTTATCTTAATCTCTCAAAGGCCACTTACATTTCTAGGGTACAGTTATATGCTGCCTTTACTCACTCATCAAGGGTCATGGCGGACATACCTAGCATAACGAATTTCCTTTTTTTTTTTTTTTTTCAAGCAGACAAAAACCAGGCATAGACCTAGGGAAATGAACAGCTGACCCCAATCTTAGCTGAAGAAATATTGGCAACTGATTACTGCTAGAGCTGATCTTCCTAAAGCGAGAGACTCTAGAAAGGCTGATTAGATCTCAGTGGATGAACTTGCACTGATGAACGTCTGGGGACACTGACCTTGACACAATAGGCCTTAACACAAGTGAAAGAATGTATGAATTCTAGTGGAGGAGTTTGAGAAGGTGCCAGTGGGAGTGAGGGAATGGGGACGGGGGTATAAAGATGGTTAAGGTTGATTGAGATATTTTGTATGAAATACACAAAAATTCAACAAAAGTATTTTTTAAAAATGTCTTTAAGCAAAGTTTTATGTGACATGGGAACTGTGAATGAAGGAGGCACAAAGCACAGGGAAAACAGTCTGTGTTTACTCTTAGGATTGACGCAGGTAGTCAGCATATAACAAGGTAGTAGGTAAAAAGGGAATGATCTAAGGATAATTGAGGGGAAACCCTCAAGTCCTATCTGTTCAAATTCTTCTTGGCATTTTTAGGTAGCATGTCTTCCTCTGAGGCAGGGTCCCTATGGAATAAAGGTCTTCAAGGGAGAAAGGAGAGAGTGACCAGTCCAGGTCTTATGATTGGCTGTGGGGCAGAGGACCTTGGACTCACTTCAGGAGACAGAGTAGAGGTTACAAACAGAAGAGGAGATCTAAGAGCCCTTGCTTCTGAGGTTTTCCAGTCTCCTTTAGTTCAGAATACTCAGCCTGTCTAAGAACCAATACTTTAGATTACCCAACATATTGTTACACCAATTCAATACAAATTAACATCCAAAAGTTTGCAGCAAATGTTCAAGGAGATGTGGGACATTTTTGTTCCCCTTTATCTTCACAGCATGTATAATTGCTATTCAAATATGAGCATCAAAATATTCAATCTTAGGTGATATTTTAATTTTTCCTTCTATTAACGCTAGTTCCAATATTTTACTAAAAAAGTTACTAACAAATGATTGATGAACACATGAAACTTATTTCCCTAAGGCACAATTTTTATTTCAAATAGAAAAACATACTAGAAATATATATTTAAGCATGCTAGATGTAGAAGTAGTGTTTCAAAAACTACTGTTTTATAAAACCAATTTTAAAAAGCCTATGGTGCATAGTTAGGTTAAGCAAGATTTCTAGTAAGTTTTCTGAAAGTACTTAACTACCGGTATTTGGACTAAATGAACATTTCAAAACACTCACATTATGAGCTAATGCATTTGCAACAGACTTCTGAGGGAGGTTATATATTGCTTAGATTGCAAATGAAAAATGCAAAGGAGTGAAGACCTAGTAAGTACCCTTGAAACACTCAGTGGAGTCCTAGTTTCCTTTTTTCTTCTTAATAACTAGCCACTGCAGCTAGTAACCTGCCAATCAAACAGTATAAAACTAACTCCTATTAAGGCTCAGGATTATAAAATCATATAATTTGAAGACAAGAAAGTAACAGAAAACATGACTGTTTTCAAAACGGCAGCCTTTCTGCACTTGAGCTTGCTCTAGCTTTATCATTTATTGTCCTACTCTTCAACTCACCCTCAACTCACGATGTGCTGTGTGCTCTGATACGGTGCTTTCTGGCTTTCTGCTCTTCTATGGGACCAACTGGGTTTTGTGGAGTATTTTCCCTTCCAGGTATTTAAGCAAGAAATGCCTGCTTTCCTCTGGCGTTTTTTTTTTTTTTTTAAAAAAAAAATTTCAGGGTGAAAATGTGTGTGTGTGTGTGTGTGTGTGTGTGTGTGTGTGTGTGTATGTGTATCCTCGTGTAGCACAGTACATACTACAAGCACAAATGTGCAGGTCAGAGGACAACTTGTGGGAGTCATTTTTCTCCTTCCACCATGAAGGTTCTACAGATCAAACTCAGATCCTCAGGTATGGTAGCGAATCCTTTGCCCTCTAGGTCACCTTGTCAACCCATCCTCTGAATATTTTTAAGAGAACAATGACATTTAACATTTGGTTTTAGAAAGAAATCTTTATGATATATTTGGAGGATATTTTATTTTCGTATTTTTCCACTAAGAGAAATGTCTTTTCTGATATGGCCCACAAAAATAATTCCCCAGTAAATTGACAAGAAGTACTTGATCCTGTTCATGGATGGAAGTGGTTAATTATGCCTTCGAACAGCAAACGATCTATTTAGTTTGTAATTATACATAATCACATTTTTGAATGTATTGCCTAAATGTCTCATGTATTTGGAGGTATAAACTAAGTTTTCAATAAATATGCTAAATCAGTCTCCATCTGTATTTTTAAGACACCTACTAGAGGAAATTGTACCTAGTCACTTTAAGAAACAGAACTGGTAAGGATGCCAAACCATACATTTACACTTCACAACTGTAATTATTTTTTACAGCTGTCTCTCTATAAAGCTGCATTTAATATTTAAAGAGTTTGAATCATTTTTTACTGTAATGTCTGATATTTAATTAAGCGTATTAGATGAAGGTTTGAGGGAGCTTGCCTGATCCAGCAGGTGTTCGCTGTCAAGCTGTGCAGATGTGGCATGCAGCACCCACTAACAGCCATTTGACCAGGCTCTTTTGGAAATTCTCACAATGGTGTTACTAGTAAGGTCGGCTTATTAGCATTTGGTTTACTAGGGGCCAGGAAGTGGGAGGTGGGGGTCATTATTCGGATGAAAAACAAAACGAAACAACAACAATAGAAACGAACGGAGGAGGGCAGAAAGCTACCAGCCCAACCGCTCCCCAGTCCCCTGAGCTGCCGCCCTCTTGGAGCAGCAGGTTTATGCTTGTGCTGGGTGAAGCTGGGCGCTCCCCTGCAGGGCCAGGGCGTGCCCACCTGGGAACTGCTTGCTGTTCGGAGTTTGCAAGCACCTTGCGAGATCTTTCTTCCCGAGCTCTGGAGACCTATGTTTCAGACCGGTCGGCTCCGGAACTCTAGGCTGATGGCCGCTAGGATCTGGGTTTCCGTGGTGTCGGCAACTTCACTTTCCCCAGCTAGCTGGAGGAAGACCAGGGAGCCCCCGCGGGCCACTTGCTCGCCATCGGCCACCTCTGCCTAGAGCACCTTTCGCCCAAGTCACTGACCTTGGTGGCCTCCCCTGGGCCAGGAGAGAAAGGCTACGGTGATCCCAGCTCCCGGAGGCCACCTCCCGCCCCCTACGCCCTGGAGAGCACAGGCCACCCCGGGCGGGCGCGGCGGAGTCACGCCCCTCTCCTCCCCGCGGAGCGCGGACTCCCCGCCCGCCAGCCCAGGCTCCGCCCACCCCGCTCGGAGCTCGGTCTCCCGCCGGCCCCCAGCAGTCCAGACCCAGCCGGGCAGGAAGGGCTGCAGCCTCCACGGACGGCTCGCGGGGCGCAGGCTACGGGAGTCCGCGGCCACGCGCGCTCTGATGGCCCCCGAGGCTGAACGCCCGGCGGGAGCGCGGCCCTAGGAATGCGCGCAGCGAAGCCCGGGGCTCGCAAGGTAAGGAGGAGGCGGATGCCCAGGCAAAGTTGATTGGCGCGAGGAGGACGCCGGTCCGTGCCCTCTCCGCGCTGGGCACAGCCGAGCGACTTGGACTTGACCTCGCCGCGGCCCGGGCGCGCTGCGCACAGCCGATCTGCCGCCCCTGGCCGGAGCGCACTTGCAAACTTGGTGGAGGTGCCCGGAGCACCCTGTTGTGTAACCGCGGCGCCGCCAGCCGGACGGGGAAGTTGCCCGGACGCCCTTCAGCAGCCTTCGGTCGCAGCCCCGGGCGGATTTCATGGCCCGCGGGAAACGCGTGGCCACAACCGGCGTGGGCCAGTCCCCGCGCGCCGGGATCCGTGGGGACCCCACGCGCGCGGACCCTTCCTGTCGCCCGCTCCTCCGATGCGCGCTGCGCCCCTCGCCGCCCGCTCGCCGCGTTCTGCCGCCGGGAGCTGCTGCCTGAGCTGGGGGGAGAATGACCGAGGTGCCTTGGCAGGTGGTCCCCAATGGGACGGACGCCGCCTTCCTGGCCGGCCTGGGCTCGCCCTGGGGAAACAGTACAGTCGCCTCCACCGCCACAACTGCAGGCTCCTTCAGATGTGCTCTAACCAAGACTGGCTTCCAGTTCTACTACCTGCCGGCTGTCTACATCTTGGTGTTCATCATCGGCTTCCTGGGCAACAGCGTGGCCATCTGGATGTTCGTTTTCCACATGAAACCTTGGAGTGGGATCTCCGTGTACATGTTCAACTTGGCTCTGGCCGACTTCTTGTACGTGCTGACCCTGCCGGCCCTCATCTTCTACTACTTCAACAAGACTGACTGGATCTTCGGGGATGCCATGTGCAAGCTGCAGAGGTTCATCTTCCACGTGAACCTGTATGGTAGCATCCTGTTCCTGACCTGCATCAGTGCACACAGGTACAGTGGCGTGGTGTACCCACTTAAGTCTCTGGGCAGGCTCAAGAAGAAGAACGCAGTCTATGTCAGCGTGCTGGTGTGGCTCATTGTGGTGGTGGCCATCTCTCCTATTCTCTTCTATTCTGGCACCGGGATCCGGAAAAACAAAACCATCACCTGCTACGACACGACCTCCGACGATTACCTACGAAGTTATTTCATCTACAGCATGTGCACAACAGTAGCCATGTTCTGCATCCCGCTGGTGCTGATCCTGGGCTGTTATGGATTAATTGTTAGAGCTTTGATTTATAAGGACCTGGACAACTCGCCTCTAAGGAAGAAATCCATTTACCTGGTGATAATTGTCCTCACGGTTTTTGCTGTGTCTTACATCCCTTTCCATGTGATGAAAACGATGAACTTGCGGGCCAGGCTGGATTTCCAGACCCGGGAAATGTGTGCTTTCAACGACAGGGTTTATGCCACTTACCAGGTGACAAGAGGTCTAGCCAGTCTCAACAGTTGTGTGGACCCCATTCTTTATTTCTTGGCTGGAGATACTTTCAGAAGAAGGTTGTCCCGAGCCACCAGGAAAGCTTCCAGAAGAAGTGAGGCAAATTTGCAATCCAAGAGTGAAGAAATGACCCTCAACATTTTGTCTGAGTTCAAGCAGAATGGAGACACAAGCTTATGAAGGCACAAGACCCAAGCACTTCACTTTTGTAAGATGGTAGGATGCTTCTTAGAGAGCCAAGTGCTTTTCTCCTCAAGCTCTTAGTACTTTTAGAGAATATTCAAAACAAGAAGTTGTGAGTTTAAAACATTATCAGTTACCACATCCATGCTTTTCTTGTCTGGGCTTTGTTTGGGTTTGAGCGTTTAGACTCCTTTTTTTACTAACTAGAAGTATGTGTTATAAAACAGTACACCCAGTTAAACATTATCTCTTCTGCCTTTAACATTTGCAAGCTTTTCTGTTTAAAGTGTGTATGCCTGCGAAGCAGATCTATTTTGTTATTAAAAATTTCTCAAAGAAAACTGGCCATTAGAAACTTGAGTTTGTGATTTGTCCAGCCATTATTACTATGAACAACTTTTGGCATGAACAAACTGAAACCTATACTTTTAAAACCATTTAGGGTCATATAACAGAATACTAAGGCAGTTCATTTAATAAAGAATGGGCAGATCCATGAGTTACATATCTCTTTCAATTCCTTCTATGCACAGATGCCGGTGGAAAATTTCTTTGGGGAATTGAATAGAAAAATCAATGAATATGGAAGCATAGAAAGTATTTTCCAGTTGTTTGGGGAAAACTGAGTAGTATATATTACTTGTTCAGTGTTTGATGGTGGAAGGCTGCAGATACTATGTCATTGGCAAAATATATTCAAAATAATCGCAGTGCGTGTATTTTTCTTACAAACACCATGAGCTGTTAAAGTTCCTGTGATAAAGAGCTTACTTGCACTACTGCTGTGCAGTGTCTTGGGACTTTGTGTTCCAACACAAGTGCTCATTCACATCTGTAAAAACAATTGTGAGAAATCACAGTCAAATTACAGACTAAAAGTTGAGCAAAGCCCAGGAACTATTAGCAGATTGAGGGATCTTGGGCAGGGCTGTCAGATTTTCAGAGGGGTGTGGCTGACAGCCATTCACTGTGAAACTGGGGGTGGAGAGAAGACCTAGAATAAGGACTTGAAATGGCAATCTAGTGGAAAAGGTCTTTTCACTTCCTCAAAGTGCTTTAAAACATTAGCAATGAAAAGGCAATGCAGGGAGAATTGCCTGGGCTGTGCTAACAGAATGGAAGGCTATGCTCTTTTAATGAATTAATGTCCCAATCTTTGAGTTTTCAGATGGAAAAACATTTGCAAAGGGGGGTGGGGAAGGAAATTATCTTTTCAGTACCTAAGCACTGAGAAGAAAGTGACAGAAAATATACATTGAACCATTGATAGTTAAAGGGGGTGATCGTTTTTTTTTTTTTCTTTGTATTTCTTCTCTGCTAGGCAGTAATGAAATATTTATAAAGCATTTCAACTATTTTTACAATTATTTTCAATGGATAATGAATCGCTATATTTATTACCCTTGGAATGGTCCAACTTAATATAATGAAAATAATGAGAAAACATAGAAGTCACTAATAAGTAAATTCAACTGTGAAAGCTAATGATCTTCCAACTGTCACCTGAGCTTGCAAGCGAAGGTACAATGACTGGTCTGGAAGCACTTTATGAGGAAAGCAACGTCGGACTGCAGTTAAGTCAAGAAAGAACCTTTGTGCCCTGTGGAATATAATGATATGAGACTCAGGATTTGATGTCAGCTCTTGAATGCTCAGGTGCAACTAGGGCTTGTGAGAACTTTGGAATGCTTCCATTCACCAGTCTCTAGACACTAAGGTGTATGAAGGAAAACTGTATTTAGCCTTCCTATATACTCGTTCTTTTTTATGTTTTCAGTCTTAACACATAGTAGTACAGAAACCAAAGGAAGCAGGTACCCACTGTGCTTCCTTCTGAGGTCTTCAGGGTTCTCACATGTAAGAGACATCTAGCATCATCTGTTCTAGAATCCTAAAAGACAAAATCTAAAATACATCTATATTATGTACTAAAAACATACATCTATATTATGTACTACAAACATGATCAGTGGTTTAAAAGTAGTAGTATTAAACTAGCCCAGATGGAAATTTCTGAGACTCACTAGGTCCGTGATTCATGTTTCTATACCATTTCCTCATTGTTTAATTTAAAGAGCCATGCCATTGGGTTACAACCCTAGCCCTTAAAATGTTTGTTTAGTCACTTTATGTATGGTGTAATGGACATTGGCATGTCAACACATGCCAAATAATAACAAGAATGATCTTGCCAACTTCTTCCAGGCCTAAAGAAGTCCCTGGGATGATCTATGCTAATGGTGAAAGCACACAGAGGGTCATGATGAAGCAGTGATCTATTGGCTGAAAAGCCAATTCATGCCACGTGATGATGAGTAAGTATTCTGATAGTGAAGTCAGGAATCTGTTGACATTTGGACAAAAGACAGATGAACATTGTAGGATATATGTAGTCATTGAATTTCACACTACAAAAATATTATAATTCCAAGTTCAAGATTTTGTAAGTACTTACAAATTGGTATCTTTGACTCCTTGAACACTGATTGGAATGTATTTTAAAATAAAAATGAGAGGAAATTTAGCACACAAGTCAGAAATGAAAATTTAAACCATGATGTGACCCCTGAGAAACTGGGACTCCTGACCTTCGAAAACTATTCTTTATGAACAGAAAAGGTGACAGGACATCCATTTGTTGATGCCATAGGGACTGAAAAGCAGACAGCCAGGAGTGTGTGGAATCTGCTACTATGCTTCCCAGGACTTCTTTAGTCTGGTCCTTGAACAACAGTTCTTACAGTGTTCAACAGCTAAGGTGTGGATAGAGTCACAACCAGCAAGTCTCTATCTACTCAGCCAGGACACGGAATCATCTTTTGATTTGACAGATGTCAATACTTAACAGCAGCTGGAGTTCAACTAGTGACTGGACCTAAAAGATGTGATGTGAATAAGGATGTACTAAAGCTTTAACTTTGCTGGTCAAATTGTAACTATTGTAAAAGTATTTATTGATGATGCTCATGGGCCCTCAGTTGTACAGATTGTAAACTTCCTTGAAGATAAAACATAGTGATGTAACTTATATTTATTGTAATGTATAATATTCAATTGTCACACTGGTGCATTTTCCGATAATATGCATAGATAAAATGAGAGTTATAGTTAAGGGTGATATTCAGATATTAGTATCTTTAAACATTTAACATGTCAGTTTTTATTTAGGCCTGAAATATGAAAATCTGTTTTATGACAAGTGCTTAATTTTCCCTCCATATTTGCATGCTTTCCCTTTTATTTAGGATTCTTCTTATATATACATAATTTGGTGTTAGATTGTTATAAGATTCATAGTATAAAATAAGTTAGCCAGACAGGTCCTGTATTCTGTACATTTTTCATGTATATTATAGAAAAGATTATGTTGTCTTTCCAGAAAGTTTCAAATTTTGTCCCAACTGGTCAGAGCTCCCACTACCGGGGGCAAAAGATGTGTAGCATATTCAAACTTAATCTTATGATCTCAAAGTACATTGGGTTGAGCATTATGGATAGAATATTAAAATTTAAAGATATACTTTAGCAAGATGGAGAGGAAAAAAAAAAAACAGAACCTTCAGCTGACAGAGCCATTTACTCTGATCCACCCTGAAAGTTTTGCAATGTGTTGTAAGGTGACTTAGTAAAATCTTAACTTTAAGGTGGAGTTGCTACATTACAGTACCAGCAACTTCAACATTGCTATTAATTTTAAAGTGTTTTCTTTGGGCCCTTGATAACTTTAATTCCAAGTTTTTTAGTGTTTTTTTTAGTGATCATTTGGCTGCTAAATTATGTTACAGTTTTCTTTTCATTTTGTGTGCATTGTAGTATACACAGCATTACAAATTAAAATGAAGGTGAATATATGTTAAATATCAAAATTTGTGAATTTGAATTATGTTGTTTCAGTGCTTTTGCAAGAAAATGTTTATTTTTATATATTATCTGTGATTTTCATGTAGATAATTGAACCAGATTTCTTTGTGATTAACAGTGCTATTGAGTGGTACGAAACAGTGTTACTTGACGTTTTGAGCCTTCTCAGGTTTATCTGAATCTGGTAGCTTAACAAAACCTGGACAAATTGTGCATAATTGTGTTTTTAATAAAAAGGAAGTGTATTTCCTGTAAAAGCATGCAGGAGTATGAACAATCTTATAGGACTCTGTGTGTGTTTGTGTGAGTGTATGAATGTGTGTCTGAGACATGACTGCCAACTGTCTACCTGTCATTTATACAGCAGAGCTTCATAATTGTGGCTACCAGAATTGTACTTGTCATAGACAACTAACTCTGAGAAAGACTCAATAAAACTATGAAATGTGATTCACTGGTGTCTATATTATTGCAGTGATCATGTTCAAAAGTCCCAAATTTTAACACATCATAATATATAGACTGCCAAGGACTGCAGGACATATTGTATTAATTCAGATAATTTCTAAAGGTGCCAGTTAGGGTATAAAATTATGTTAAAGGAAAAAACCTGCCGCAAGATAATTCTTAATAGTTAATTTATGTTTAATTACTAATGCTGATATTATTTAAATTTTTATAGAAATATACTGAAAACTACTACAAGTAATTCTAATAACTGTTGAAAATATTAACTGTAACCATTTTTAT